TCAGGGCAGCTGGTCCCCCCCATGGTCCCCTCCCCCCTCTCCCAGCTCCCCCTCCCCTGCCCCTAGTATTTACCAGCTCGGAGTCAGCTGCAGCTCCCCGCTGCAGCCGCCGGGGACTGCCCGAATCATCAAACCCCTCCGAATCTTTGCCCAAGATTTGGAGAGCTTTGAATTGATTTGGACCTTTTAATTGGTCCCCTGATTCGATTCGAATTTGGAGATTCGGTCACCGAATCTCCTCCCAATCAAATCGGCACCCGAAGCTTCGCACAGCCCTACCTTTCAGTGCTTCAAGCAGCTTCTGGGTACTTCTGAAAATACCACTTGGGAGCCCATGTCTCTCCCCTGCTTTATTTTTAGTGACCAGCCTAGTGGGCTCTTAGACAAGACGGTATCACCAAATGTCAGCTTTGTAACTCAGAGGGGAGTGCCCACCTGGCACTAGAGCCCCTGGTGGGGGCCCACATACTTACAGCTGCACCACCCCAAGCTCTCAAGATCAGAGATTATGCTCCTTACTTTTACTGAGACAGAAAAATTGTTATCCAACAAATGGATGGCTCCAAAAAAACCCCAAAAAACTCTGAGGATTTTGTGGCTAGGTGCCTAATGGTGCAGTTACTAGGCACTCTTAAAGAAAGGCTACTTCAAGGCTAGGCACACTGGAAAGTGTCCTCTTTACTACAGGACATCAGGCTAGAATAAGAAGGCCAGATTCTGTGCAAAGTCTGATGCTCCTCTCACACTAAGCTACTCTCTGCCAATACACTGAGGAAACCTAGATATGTTTTCTCAACTCCAGTTGATTTAACAGCTCATTGTTCTTTACTCCAAAGGTGTTAACAGTGGTCTCTCCTTTTAAATGGGCTTCATGTTTCACTAATCAAAGCTAACCTTTCCTGGGGCAATTTTGTTGTCTGCTAGCTACTTATGCTCTCTCTCCTACTTTACAGCCTTGGAGACTCTAGCTGTTCTCAAAATCCTAGCTCTACCCATGGAAACCATTTTTCAGCAGCAGCTAGGGTTTCAGCTTCAGTTAAGCAGGAAAGGGAGGGCAAGTCATCTGAACAGTTAGCCTCTTTTCTGCTCTATGCAACCATAACCCTGGAAAAATCTTTTTTCTTTGTTTTGCTTTTCAAAAATGAAGTGTGTATTATTCTGGGGACTGTTATATGTGAGGAAATATGGCATATCTTGTATCATAAGATTAATTAAACAGCAGCTGAATATCATCAGGGTGAAATATCAGCACCCTCAGCCTGAAATTGCTTCCCCCCCCCAGCAAATGCAGCAAACTCTGGCTTGGTTGCTGGAAGTCTGTAAACCCTGCCTATTGAGTCAAGCCAGCCTCTAGTTTTCCAGGCAATTAAGATCTTCTGGTGTTCTGACAGGATTAGTAAATCTGGTGAAACTCTATATCCTAAAAATATGCTTTTGTTTTAAGTTACCAAACATTTCTGGATGACCCCAGGGAAGCTATGGGAACTCTGTATACAGACCTGCTTCCTGCTCTAAACTCTACATTAAATCCTATTATTGAAAGGTGGGAAGAAAGTGCAGATCCGTGTATATGGTTAAGAACTATTACCAGACGATTCCTTCACAGAGGGAAGCTTTTAAGCTTGAGGTGCATCTGGCACCCAGGCCCCGAAGTTCTAGAGGGTTCAGATGGTGCAAGGCCACCTTCCTATGCGTCACAGTGGTGCCAATCCAAACCTTCGCCACTGAAATTGAGAGACTTACAGTTCTGCAAGTGACAACTGAATTTGGCCCAATATCATTGAATTGCTTAACATGAAATATCAGGATCGGATGTGCTAAGCCCTCCAGTTGTCTGGGATCCTCTGCCACTTGGCAAAGGGACAAAGCCAAGCACAGCCTTTGGGACTGGATAGATTTCAACAGCCACTTAAAGTTTTTCCCACCAGCCTGTGAGCTGCTTGGACCGGTGTTTTCAACTGTGGTCTTGGATCTACTTGAGATATTCTGGGCCTGATTTTCAAAGGGCTTGGGTATACCACTGTGGCAGCAGGTCCTGATGTGGGAGGTCCAAGCATGCCCTGCCCACACTTTGCCCACCCATGTTTCCAGGCACTCTCCAAATGGGAAATGCACCCATGAGACTGCTCAGCCTCTTCTCTCCTTGGCTGTTCCTGAGCCCTCAGTTTCCAATGCCCCTTAGTGCAGCTGCTGGAAACAGGCTGGGAGCACCTTTATAGGCAACCATTCAGGTCTGGAGCATGCCTGTGTGTGCAGGTGTACAGGGCACAAGAGAAGTATGCTTGGGCCCACCAATGCTGGGGATATTATGCCTCCTCAGCAGTGCTGACCAGCACAGAGATGCAGAGCCCCAAAGCTACAATTGAAGTGGGCAGGAACTCTGAGGTGTGCATATGTTTGAAAATATGTGCACACCCAAACACTGACATCCCAAAACAGGGGCTACTTTGAAATACCAGCCTTCCCCTTTGCGTGAAAACTGATGCAGCAACACCATTGCTCACTCAGCATCGGGCACAAGGATGCAGCACCAAGAGCCCTCTGCTAATATAGGTGTCGATAAGCCAGTGCTCCCAGTGAAGCAGTGGACTCTGGGCCTCCTACAGCATTGTCTTGCTTAACTGCTTAATTTGACCCCTTTGGGCTTGTCATTAATCCATAGCAGACAGGACGCGGCCACACAAACAGAGTTTACTGAAGGAAAGCTGGATGTCATTAGCTGGGACTGGCTTCTGAGAATGTTTTCCATTCAGAGAAGCCCTGGGCTCGGGCCCCCTGCTTCATGAGCTCTGCTTATGTGTTTGTTTGGGGGATGGGAGCAATGGGATGTTAAGTGGAACATCACTTTCCCATGGAAGGCTCTTAATGATGGATGGGATGTTAGCACAAGGCCAGACTTATCCAACCTGCTGGCCTGGAGGAATGGCAGGAAAACATCCAGTAAACATGGAGAACAGGCGACTGATTGAAATAAATAAAGGCCATGTGGAAAGACATCTGTATAGAAGGATAAAGGTTAACTGGGACCTGGAGGGACTGAGTGCCAACCAGGCAGTGACCAAACCAAGTGCCACTCCATACCTCATTTTGGGGAAACTTTCCTTGGTGAAGGGCTCAGATAGTGCAGGGTTGCCTTGGAGCTTCAGATGGGTTAGGCCACCCAAACCATCCAGTGGCAAGGTGACCAGCTGGTTGTCAGTCAAGTCTCTATTATATGAAAGGGAAGGAGAAACAGGCAGTGTTAGGGTTAACTGAGGTAGATTAACTGAGAGACTGGATGGTTTTGTATATGGCCTTGCTGTATTTACCCGACTGGTGTCTAATATACGATGCTATGATGTCAATGATTTGAATCGCTGCACAATGCTAACTGCGAGCTGGTCTCATTTTGGTGATGAATGAAATGATACCACAGTCACTGTGGGCAGGGTGCCACTGTTGAAAGCTCAACTTTGGTGATCTCCTTCTCCCTCCCTGCCTTTATCAATCCAACCACCTATCCATCCTACCACCTCTCTATATCTTGGTATGCCATGTTCCTCCTTCAATTAATCTGTCTTTTCCTCTCAATACACCTTATAATTGGGGGCCCTAACCCTTGTTACTGACTACTTGAGCAGCATGCTGCAGAGAGGTAGGCTGAAGAGCTATACGCTACTAATTAAAGTAGTCAATGAAGAATCACTGTCCCATTAGGGAAGGGGAGGAGCCAGGCAGAAATTATTAACAGATCTCCCAGCTGTGGAGTCAGTCTGGCCCAGGCTGGTCTTTGGGAAGGAGATTTTTTCAAGACAGGAGGGTCTAGGGACAGCAAGTGAAAGTCCTAAGTGAAAGGCAAGTTGCTTGTTCTCCCCACCCCACCCTCTGCCCCGAATCTGTTCACCCATAAGGCATGGGGTGGCTTTCAGGAGAGTAGGGAGGTTCCTGTGGGCATCTGGAGAAGGTAGTGTGAAACTGGTTGTTGATTTGGGGTTGACTTGAAGCCCTGAGGACTGGGAAGAAAACCCAACTGAGGGTAGAGGCTCCTGCTCAAGCACTGGAATTACTTAAAGCCTGGGCTAGACTGAGCTGGCTCGATGGTGAGCAGAGTGCAACGAGACACCTGAGATGGCACTGGTCATCTGAGGGCTGAGCACCATGTCATTGTCTTCTATCTCTGTAGACTTTGGCAGCTCAGTGAGTGAATCTGGAGCCCCCACATGCATGCTTTCTTTGCTCCTCTGCAAAAAGACTAACAATACAACTTACAGCTTGGTGAGTGAGTGGAGGGTCACAAAGGCCTCAGGATGGATGAAGTGGATGCAATTCCAGCTTAGGTCTCTGGAAGGCAAATACAAGGCAATGATGGTGACTGCGCAGAACTGCAAGGGCCTGTGAGTAGGAACGTATCTAGACAGAAAGGTTGAGGCATCGCATGCAGACGCTCCCTCCTACTACCTATGGCTGAGCTCTACAAGTTCTCACTGAGCCCCTGGGAAGACACATTTCCTGTAAGGAAGGCTGGGCTCTCAGCAACTCTGTACATATCCCTTGTACAGTCCCCTGAGGTCCCTTTGCCTTCCCGTTCATTTTCTATTCCCCACCCCCTCCGTCCCACCTCAATATGATGTCCCTTCTAAATCCCTCCCTGCTTCTTTCCTCTGACTGTCTCCCAGCTTTTGGGACTCTAAGCCCAGCTTCTCACAACCAGGCCCTGTCAGCTTAGATCAGGTTGTGAAACATGACCCATGGGCTAGATTTGAAGCTGTTTCATCCAGCCCAGCGGGCTCCTAGAGGGGCCAGGAAGTTGAGGGCTGGGTGAGTGAGGATATGGGGCCTGTCATTGAATTCCCAGCTATAGAGCCACAATGGGCATGCATATTGTTGGGGGGGTGAGGGCAGCAGCAGCTGCATTAATCCCCATGCCACTCTGTCACCGGACCCAGATCCAGCATGCAAGGAGACCTATGGTCCTGATAAGGCCTGGGGATGCAAGTGAGCTTGATGCACCTGGGTTTGATGGAAGTGTGACAACGGCATAGCTTCCCTCATTGGGCTTTTCAGCTAAGATCAACTATTCAGCCCTGAAGAAAGATCTTTCCCCATTTGGGTCTATTTTTGCAAGTTTAGAGACTTTTGCATTACGATGTCTAAACTCTTGAGCACTGTGCAGGTCTTGGCTTTCCCCTACAGTCAGAATAATAGGCTTTTGAGCCAAGCACTTTCCCCTTCTAGTGCACACGTGGTGAGGGGAGGCACTCAGCCTTGTGTTTGCATAGGCAGTTGGGGCCAGAGCCTGTGTGCAGGTAAGGCAAATGTACATGAAGGGATGCAACATGCATGTAGCTGTGTCCATATGTGTGTCTGTGTGTGCTTAGTAGGCATTGCATATAGGATGTTCAAATTTGTGACTTCTTAATGTGTGTAATGACTATGTATAGTGTGTAAAGTGTAGCTGGTGAGTGTCATCTGAAGTGTGTGTATTTTTGTGGAGGGTATAATCAGTGTGTGAATAGGATCAGTTAGTATGAATAGTTTGTAGTGTGTGTAATGATTGTATGCCAGGGTGTGGGCAGAGCACGTGGCTTGTAACATGTACATTTGTGGTTAATGTGTGCTGTGTGTAATACATGTTCAGGGTTCATAGTTTCTGTGGTGGTGTGCATGTTTGCATGTAGGGGCTATGGGTGTTGGATGTGGTTAGGAGGTGAAACATGTATGCACTGTCTGTTGCAGATATGTTCAATGTGTATTCTCTGCACAGTGCTACAGTTTAGTCCCATACAATGCCATTATCAGCATTATATAGGAAAATTTTGGACATTTTTTTGTGTACCAGATCAAATTGGCCAGATCAGTTCCGAATCCTTTGAAGCATTCAAAAACCTTATGTGGCCCTCCTACCAGCAACTATCCTCCATGCTTCAGATACTTCCAAATCCTTTGGCAGACATCCTGCTTGCAGGCTCAAGCCTGGAGATTTGGGGTTTGGATGCCCCTGAGTTTCGCTTGCCCTCAGCCATATGGCCACATGAGCAAGCCGGGGAGGAGTCTCTCATTTCCATAAACTTGGCATGCAGCTGAGATCCTCTCACCGGAAGCCGGCCAACGGGAAGCTAACTATGAGGCTCTTGTAGGTAGTCCTTTCCGCATGCAGGCAGGGATGCATCCTTCACTACATGGTGCCATTTTAACTGCATTTCAGCTTGGGTATCAAACCAGCAGCATCCCTTTAAGCTGCGTGCGTGCACGGCTGTGCACAATTAAAAAAGCATGCCGCGTAATAACTTTTTAATGCCAGGCACACAGTGGCGTACTGACCAGGGGGGTGGGGGGGAAGGTAGGCGGCCATGGCCCCCTGGGCACCAGCCTGGGGGGGATGCTCAGGGCTGTAGCAAGAGGCCACTAATGCTCCCCCCCCGGCCACTGCCAGCTTTGTGTCCAGTCACTCCTCACCCGCCCCAACCTGACCACAGGCTGTTGCAGGAGGGGGGAGGGGTGGGCACACAGAGATACCCGCAGACTCCCAGCCAGGATTGCTCACAAATCACTAAACCTTAGAAGGAACATTGCAGACCAGTGCAGTGACTACACTTGATCTTAGCCCACAAGAAGCCTATTGGCTTTTTTCTTAAAAAAAAAAAAAATGTTTCATGTCCCAAGCCAAATCAGCCAAATCCATTCCAAATCCATGAGTCATTCAAGAACCATATGTGGCCCTACTACTGGCAAACATCCTCCACCCCTGCCTGGGGCTTCTGATGCTTTCAAATCCTTTGGCTGGCATCCCACATGCAGGCTGAAGTCTGGAGGCTTGGGGTTTGTATGCTTCCAAGTTTTGCTTACTCTCAGCCGTATGGCCACAGGAGCAAGCTAAGGAGGAGTCGCCCATTTCCATAAAGTTGGTGTAAAGCCAAGATCTTCCCACTGGAAGTGAAAGTGGGAGGCTAACTATGCCTTACCTCAGTCAAGGTGCTACCCCCTGCCAAGAAAGTGCTTTTCCCCTGCAACTAGGAAAACCACCTTAGTGGTCATGGTATTTTCCCTGCTGGGTAAACCGATCAGCATGACCAGCCTGTCAGCTATTTGCATGGAGCAGGTGTCACCGGAGCAAAGGGGGTTTTGTTGTCTATCTCTTTTCATAGGGTGAGGTATGGTCTGGACCTGAAAGCTTAATGATACAGACAGCTCAGCTAGGACTATGTTAGCATGGTCAGGGCACCCTGCATCAATCTGGCAGTGTGCCCAGGGCTCCCTTTTCCCCACAACAAAGATCCAAGCCATTCTCAGTGCCAACTGAGCCCAAACTATACTTACATGGAGCGCAAGGCCATTAACTGCCCAAAGGTGTCTGCTCTGATTTCACGGACCCTATTGTGCTGGAGGCCGCTGAAAAGACAGAGAGGCTGGTGTGAGAGGTTCTTAAGGCAGTATTCTTACTCTGCCGGGCTCCCTGCCCCCCTGGCAGCAGAACAAAGTGCCGCCGCAGCGGAAGTCGCTGCCAGTTGAGCTCATAAAACCTGCTCTTATTTCAAGGGGTAAGTGGGTCAAGAAACAAAGCAACCTAATGCCGAGAGCCCTCTCTGTTTCTGCGTGCAACTTTGGGGCTCAGACAGTGTCCCCTTCCACACCCTCGCTGCACTGCAAAGCGTTATTTGCCTGGGACAGTAAAAGGCTCCAATGTTCCCCAGCCCTTCTGGGTAGCTGCCTCCCTTCTATGCTGCACCTCACTCCAGAGCACAGGAGTGATCCACTGCACTGCAAGGTCTCCGGTCTTGGAGTCAGGAATGGCCCTTTACTAGAGGCAGGGGTTGTGCCTGCCACTTGCACGAAAGGTGTGAGAGAGAGTGCAAGGAGCAGGCAGAGCCCACAATTGCTGGGGAGGGGCAGCAGCATTTCTATTCAGGCAGGGCTGAGAGAGTCAATTGACCTCATGGCTCATTATCATCGCCCTAATTCCTGCTAATCTCTCTATTCCACAAGCATTAATGACCCCCTCTCCTTTTGGATGGGATGGAGGTTCCACTATTCATAGATTCATAGAAGTTAGGGGCTGGAAGGGACCTCAGGGATCATCAGGTCCAGCCTCCCGGCTCAAGGCAGGAAAGACCGCTGAGGTCAGATGACTACAGCAAGGTAAGTGTCCTGTCATCTTTTGAAGATCCCTGGGGAAGGTGATTGTGCCACCTCTGGGGGTGGGGGAGTCTATTCCAGGCTTTGGACACACAAACTGTAAAGTTTTTCCTAATGTCTAATCTGAACTGATGCTCTATTAGTTTATGATCGTTCTTCCTAGTCTTCCCCTGAGTTACCTTGGTGAACAGGTGTTCTCCTAGCCCCTTATATACTTAAAGGCTACCACCAAGTCCCCTGAGTCTTCTCTTCTCCAGGCTGAACAGTCCTAAGTCCCTCAGCCTCTCCTCGTATAGTCTGTTCTCCAGACCTCTAGTCATTCATGTGGCCCTCCTTTGGACTCCTTCCAGCTTCTCCACATCCCTCTTGAACTACAGTACCCAGAAGTGGACACAGTACTCCAGCTGTGGTCTCACCAATGCGGACCGGAGTGGGAGGATAACATCCTTAGTTTTGCTTGCGATGCATTGGTTGATGCATGCCAGAGTGTTGTTCGGTTTGCCGGCTCTAGCATCACACTGGTGGCTCATGTTCATTTTATGGTCAATTGTGACCCTCCAGGTCTCTTTCAGTTGTGGTGCTGACTAATGTAGCAGCACTTTGCATTTTTCAGTGTTAAACATCATCAGGTTTAGATCTGCCCATTTTACAAGCCTGTCCAGGTCAGCCTGTATCCTCAACCTGTCTTTTAGCGTGACCGCACTTCCCCATAACTTGGTGTCATCCTCAAACTTTGCTAGTATGCTTTCCACACCCGTGTTCAAATCATTGATGAATATGTTGAAAAGCACTGGTCCGAGTACTGAGCCTTGAGGGACACCACTGGTCACCTTTCTCCATGTCTATTCGGTTCTATTAACACTCTCTGGGTCCGACCTTGGAGCCAGTTTCCTAGCCACCAGACTGTTAAATTGTTGAGGTTGCAGCTTGCCAATTTTACCATTAGGACATCATGGGAAACCAAGTCAAAGGCCTTTTTGAAATCCAAGTATACGATGTCGACCTCATCTCCCTTATCTAGGTGGCGAGTTTCCCGATCATAGAAGGAGATGAGACTGGTCAGGCATGACCTGTCTGCAACAAAGCCATGTTGGCTGTCATTTAGAATAATGCTTTCTGTTAGCCTATCAGTAATGGATTCTTTGATAGATTTTCCCAGGGACTGAGGTCAAACTGATCAGCCTATAATTCCCTGGGTCTACCTTCCTTCCTTTTTTTGAAGACAGGCACTATATTGGCCCTCTTTCAGTCTTCTGGGGCCTAACTCAAGTACCATGAGTTCTTGAATAGTTTTGTCATTGGTCATGTGATGACGTCAGCCAGTTCTTTCAGCACCCTTGGGTGCAGTTTATCGGGACCTGCTGACTTGTAGATATGCAGCCTCTCTAGCTATTTCCTCACAAGATCTTCACTGATAGGAAGGTGATCACCCACACTGTGTGCATCCAGCTTTCTGTCTGGTAAGTTAATGTCTTTTGTCTGGTGGAATATCGATACAAAACATTAATTTAGGAGTTTGGTTTTCTCCTGAGTGTCAGTTGTCAGCTGTCCCATTGCATTCTTCAGGGGTCCTATATTTCCTTTTATTTTTTCCCTGCTTCCTACATATCTAAAGAAGGAATTTTTATTGTCTTTGATTTCTGTTGCCAGTTTGTATTTGGTTTCTGCCTTAGCTTTTCTAATCCAATCCCTACAGGTGTGGGCCATACCTGTGTACTGCTCCTTGAGGGTAATTCCCAGCTGCTATCTTTTATAGGCTTCTCTTTTGTTTTCAGGAGATCCAGAGGGGTCTCCCAGCCCTTTTGCTACCTTTCTTACCGTGTTCAAACCATCTTTTCTGCAGTTTTGCTGTCTGTTAACTGTTCCTGATAATCTCGATCTTATTTCACAGCCATGCAGCCTTTTCTTTTTTTTAGCTCTAGCTAAAAACATTAACTTGTATAGAAATGACTGATAGTGAAGGAAGTATTAAAGGTCCTGCCAAAAAGTTCAAGAAGGCTAGAACTCATTTTTATGGCTCCGAGTAAGAGAAATGCATTTAACTATGATGCTTACAGGACAAATGACGCTATCTTTTGTCTATTTTTGCCTAGTTTGTTGTGTGTGTTTAGGTTTATATTTTTTCAGTTTAAGATCAGAGCAAAAACTAATGTAACGATTAGAATGTGCACCAATTTGCTAGATTATATAGTGCTACCCCCACCCTATTAGTAAAGCTTCTAGTTTCTTTTTAACTGGAGAAAAATGTGTTGTATTATATGCGATGGGGTGCAGATGATGTGGCACGTCACCTTGAAAATCCTAGATCTGCCTATGGCTAGGAACAGAATGTATGTTAAACTTAAATTGTGGAGAACAGCTCCATGGCAAGTTGCTAAATTACTTGACTAAATCTGCAGCTACAGAACCAGAGAACACAGGGCAACTTCAGTGGGATGCAGATGTGTAACTCCCATTTGGCAATCCTAGCCTTCGATAACACAATGATAAGTGACCTACTAACTAGGGCTGTGCAAGGCTTCGGACAGAGCTTCAGAGCCAGAGAAGCTTCGGATGCTTTGGGGTCTGAAGCAGCACATCCAGGTCGAAGCGCTGCCTCATTTGGCTTCCCGAAATTCTTCGGAGCCTCCTTGGAGATCTGGCCATCGGGTATAATGGGGAAACAATAAAATACCTATAACTTTGTTGTTTTTTGTCTGATTTGGATGAAATTTTCAGGGACGGTAGACTATGCAGAGAGGTGAAGCCTGCCAAGTCTCAAGAAGATTGGTACAGTGGTGTGGGGGAAACAGCACCCCTAATTCTTGAAAGCAAAACTCATGTCACATCTAGGCGTTACAACATAGTGGGGTGAAAACTGCAGGGCTGGTAGCTCTTACTGAGGCCACAAAACCTGCCAAGTTTCAAGAAGAGCGGTGCAGGGGTTTGGGGGGAACTACCCCGCAAGCTGTGGACAAGCACAACTCGTGCCATGGGTGCTGTGGGACTGACTATGTCTGTCTTGGGGTGGGGAGGGGAGACAGGGCTGCAGACCTGGCTGCTGAGCTGCTGTGTTCCCAGTTACCAATCAATCACTCATGATTCACTCCAGGACCAGGGACTCGGGGACCAGCTCAATGCACAGGACCTAGCTACTACATCACGACTTAACGAGCATCAATGAGCACCTACAACACCAGGCTAAGGAGAGGAAAGAATCAATACAGACAGTCAACTGCCCCAGGACAGACACAGTCTTGGTAGGAGTTTTGCCTGTCAGCAGCTAGGGGTGCAGGGCCCCAGAGCCCCCTGCACTGATCTCCTCCACAGCTGGCAGGTGTCACAGCAGGGGCCACGACCCCTGCAGCTGTCACCCCACTGTGCCTTAGCACACGCAGGGTCACCCATGGCATGACTTGTGCTTGTCCACAGCTTGAGGGGCAGTTCCCCCCAAACTCCTGCACTGATCTCCTTGAAACTTGGCAGGCTTTGTGGCATCAGTAAGAGCTCCCAGCCCTGCAGTTTTTATCCCCCTGTGGTGCGACACACAGCCATGACATGAGTGTGGCTTTCAAGAATTTGGGGTACAGTGCCCCCCGACCCCTGCATGGATGTCCTTGAAACTTGGCAGGTTTCATGCTCTCAGCAGAGGCTACCATCCCTGCATGTTTCATCCAAATCAGACAAGAAACAACAAAGTTATAGATATTTCATCAACTCCCCATTATACCCTATGGCCGGATCTCCAAGGCAGCTCCAAAGCTTTGGCCGGATTGAGGTGGAAACCCGGTCCCCAGCTCCAGATCAGATCACGGCCATCTGAAACAGCCAGATCCAAAGCCGGATGGATCTCTGCTGACTCGCACAGGCCTACTACTAACACCACAGGATAGATGACAATGGGGAATATCCAGAACCAAACTCCACATTAGGTTAAAGTAAAATCAGTGCAGTCCAGTCCTTCCTTTTACAGCGGGACTCTCTCAAGTAGAGGCTCTCAGGTTTAAGTCTTTTGTTTTCTCACAATGGGGTCCTGGTTCATTACTGGGATTCCTAAACACTACTCGAATACAAATAATAAATGAGAATCATTAATAAGTCCCATCTTCTGGAAGAGACTTGGCTCCACGTCAGGCCTCTTGCACTCACTTCACAGGTCCTCCATCCAATGTGAATGAAATGAACTTTTAACCCCCCTCTCCCCATAATTCCTATTCCATTCAAGTTCTAGCAAAGGCCTGGCTGCATTTTTGTGTCCTAGGAACTGGATCTCCCATTGCTTGCTCAATCCCTTGGGGTACCTTGGAGCCAAGATCATGTCTGTCACCAAGCGGGCCCCCAACTGCAAACCAAGCCATGAGTGAGGGATTGTCTTTACTCACATTTCTTCTAGCTGCTGACACCTGTGGAAACTGGGCAGCTCTTCTATTTGGTTGTGAGAGAGTTCACTGTTGGGGAAGGCACATGACAGAAATGTCAGGAGATTAAATGCATAGCTAGCTCTCTTGGGAAGGAGATAGCACTGGGGAGGGGAGCAGCCTGACTTTAGGCCATGCAGCTGGGGAAAGTGGGAAACCCCCGGGAAGAAGAATATGTGTTCAGCACGCACCTGATGCTTGGCACCAACTTCCTCATTCATTTCCTTACAGAGTGATTTCCTTGCATTAGTCATGGAGTGCTCAGGATCTCACCTGCTAATCTGGCCTCAGTGCAGCTCTGTCCATCATAGGTGACAAACCCTGCTCCTGGTACAGCTAGAATTTGCTTTTTTAGGGTCAGGATCACAAAGCCCACTCCATCCAGCCCCTGTCTTAGCACCAGAGACAGCTGCAAAATCTGTCAGTGCTTCCTTGCTTACATCAAGCCTTGTGTCTGCATAGGCAGAGCAGTTATGCATGTCAAGGCTCCCCTCCAGGACCTGTGCGTAGATTTGCAGCCCTCAGGAGCAAACCAGTTTCTGATGCCTGGGGAGGTTTTCGTGCAGCCGTGTGCCTGTCCTTCTTCCTGGGACTGCACTTGTCAATCTGTACCACCAGACTGATTTCTATTCCTTGCCCATCTCTGGCACTCTCCTGGCTTCCTCCCCAGGTCGAGGGCAGGGCACACTGGGAGCTGATATGGGCTGTCTCTGCTTGTGGGGACATCTCCCACATATGCAGATGATGTTCAAAAAATGACTGCCTGAAGCCCTTGATCTTTCATCTGCGGCCTGCCCTGAGCTGAGCAGTGTTTCTCACCACTGCCAAATCCCCAGGAACATACTTACTACTTATTCTTTATACTTCTCTGATACCTTCTATATGAGGATCTTAAAGCACCTAAATAGGTGTGTAGTTAATATTTGTAGGCATGTACAGGTGAGGAAACCAGGGCACAGGCAAGTTACATGACCTGTCCAAGGACACATAGTCAGTGGCAGAGCCCAAGGCTCCTTCTGCCTAGAGGACATAATTCCCAGCTCACCTACAGGCTTCCTGTATGATCTTAAACCAGCCTTTTAACTGTTCTCTGCCTTGGACCCCAAGGTGTGAAACAGTGATAACAGTCCTTCCCTGCCTGCTAGGATAAGGGTGCTGAGGATAAACACCGCAGAGATTTGGAGATGTCCCCAGGCAGATGGCCTTACACAGTGAACTGAGGCCAAAAGCCTAACACTGAGTGCAGGAGCTTGGGAAAGACTGAGTTCCTGCTGCATCACAGAAGATATAGTCCAGTCAGAGATCTTTGCCCATTGATGAGAATGGGAAGATGAGCCCTTGGCACCACAGTTCCTGTAAGGCCCCTTGGCAGGATGCTCCCATCCACAGTCTGCTGCTGACATTTTTCAGTTTTCACTTTTTTTGCCCAGAAGCTCTGTGGGGGCAGCAATAGGAGAAGGGAGACATGTCCCAACAAGCTCTCATGACAAACATGTTTGACAAAAGGAAAGGTTGAAGGACTCCCCCCTCCCATTGATACTGGCATCATTCTGTTGATACTAGTGGAGTCCTGATTTACAGTAGGATTAGTAATGGGGGGGCGGGGGTCCAGGCCCAAGAGACTTGTTCGCAATAGGGTGAGTGAGAGAGGAATTAGGCCCACTGTGAACAAAGGGGACCCCCTAATAGCCATTGCTGTGTTGCAGGTGCACAATATAATCTCCCTTCCCCATAACTTGTGCTTGATGGAACCTGGGGAGAGGGGTTGGCTCTGGCCTTGTATGGGGGTAATCCCCTGTGCGAGACCCCTCTGTCCTGCACTTGGTGCGACATTCACACCTGTATAAAGCTGCCCTTCTGCCTGGGCAGTACTGGATACCCTTTCTACTCTTGTTGTCCAGTGGGGTGAATGATGCATAAGTACAGAGTGGGGAGACAAGAAGCTCACACGTGTGTATCAGCTACTGCCTCTGAGCCTAGTGGTGGCTCTTGTGGGGTGGGGGGGTGTTAATCAAACACCAGGGCAGCTGTGATTGTGATGAGAACTGCCTGGGTAGTTAGTACTCTGGATGAGAGAATTGCAGAATCATAGAAAAGTAGTACTAGAAGGGACCTCTGGAAGCCACCTAGTTCATCACCCTGGTCCAGACAGGATCATCCCTGTTTAAACCATCCCATACAAGTCCATCTAACCTATTCCTAAAACTGCACAATCCACCCTGTCACACAACCACAAGGCACATTGCACAAAGCGCCAAGAAAGTCCTAAACCAGGGGTGGGCAAAATGCGGCCCGGGGGCCAGATGCGGCCTGCCAGGCCATTCTATCCAGCCCATGGGGCCCCTAAAACATTTAGAAAATTAATATTTATATGCCCCTGGCTGCCTATCATGTAGCCCTCGATGGCTTGCCAAAACTCAGTAAGCGGCCCTCCACCCAAAATAGTTGCCCACCCCTGCCCGAAACTATCACAGGTAAAGCAGGGGGGACAAAGGCACGGTCAATGCCCTGCTGCTGCAAGGGTTGTTAATGTGCATTTGAAAGACCCAAGGAAGAAAATCACACTTCAACTAAAGAGGAAGGCAAACTCTGCCCACCCCACCCCCTCCTTGATGCTGACCTGACCAGCAAGAACTTCACACATCATACCCCTCTTTCTGGCATCCTTTCCCCTCCATAAAATTATCCCAGTCCCTTTTAATCTTCTTTTGTAACTGAGCTGGTTGTGGTGCTCTGGTTTGTTCTCTGGCAGCTGAGCACTGTCTTTCCCAGTATGCACCTGAAACACCTGGGACAAGTGTGCTGGGCAGCTACAGGGCACTTGTCCCAGCATGAGAGAGAGAGAGCTGCCTGTGTGCCCAGGGCCCTGGGAAGGGTCCTGCCAGGACCCTGGGCACTCTTTTGTATGCCACCTCTCCAAGGACCAAGCAGGATGGGGGGAGCATTTGTTACTCACAGGACTCGGAGGCTGGGTAGTTGCTGGCACATCCCTCTGGGAAGCAAATGAATCCCTGCCCGGGTCAAGGTCCTGGGAATGGAGACAAGAGATAATGGCTGGTATTACTGAGAAGTGGGCATGTAGAGAGCCTGTCACTGCCCCAGCCCTGCCTTCCAGTGCCAGGCAGGAGAGGACAGAGCAAACACAAGAAGAAAAGCATCACAGAAACTGAAGGTGACTTGGCAAGAAGAAGGCAATGGCTGCTGGGTGTTTGGAGAAGTGCGGTAGGAGGTGGCATTGGGGAGCAGGCAGTGGCACTGCCTTGTCATAGGCAAAGCTAGCATATGATCTCCTTAGAGACTGTGCAAAAAGGAGGACAGTGCCACTGCACTGATAAAGACATCCCCAGTAACCTGGTTTTCCTGCCAGGAAGATGGCATGGCTGGGAGAGCCTTAGGTGCTATTAGAGCTGCCATGAGGGAACATAGTGTCCTCCAGCACTTCCAAGAGGTTTCATAGAGTCAGCAGGGAGTTCACCAGTCCTCTCCTGTGACTGCGAGGGTCTTGCACTGAAGAGTCTGCCATGAGGTCCTGACCTCACCGAATGTACCAGCAGGCGAGCCGTGGCCAGCATGTTCCTGGGAAGGCTTGTCCTTGGGAATTGGGACTCCCGACTGCCCTAGGTAGGGGTGGGGGATGGGCAGGTCTTATGGTCAGAGCTGAGCCAAACCAAATATTGGAGGACTTGATCATGAGGTCAGTGAGCTCCAAACATGGCAGATTTTCTGCCTTTTGGGGTTTTTTTCTGGCTTTCTAGGCAGCAACTGGCAGTGCAGGTCCCTGGCAGTGAGGCAGCAGCACTGGCCCTGACTGGATGGAGATGGAATATAATTTCTGAAGGTCTCTTCTGTAGGGGGCTTTCTAGGCCAAGTGGGTTGGGGGTGCCCAAGAGACTTGATTAATGAGAGAGGAATAGAGAGCGCTGAGAGCAAAAGGGGAGCGGGGGTGCTCCCAGACAAGCTAGTTGGAGCAGATGCAGGAGCAAAATGGTTTAGAGAGGAGCTCAGTGATATGCAGCAGAGCCTCACATGGCTTTAAAGTCACTGCATAACAGAGTAAACCTGGCCTCCACTGAGGCTCTTCACAAGCCTGGAACCCCTTAGAGAAGGAACAGCACAAGGAACATGGTCGCAGGGAAACTCACAATATTTCTAGGCTGGTAGTTCCTTTAAGGTCTGGGAATTCTCTGATGTCTGTTGCTCCATTTAGGGACCTGGAGAGAAATAAGGACAAGCACAGGGGCAAGGTATGAGCTGTGGCCAGAGCAGCTGAAAGCAGCAAGGCCAGCTGCTGGAGCTTCTGAATCCACCTTCTCCCAAACACACTGACATCTCACTTTGCCCTGTGCAGCCAGAGTGGCTCAATTACGGTGCAGACTGGGATGAGTATCCCCTGGGATCCAAGCCTGGAGCTGCTGCTCTTGTTAACATGCCACTGCAGGGAGGCACTCACAGTATAATACAATATTGTGGGTCTGTTACACCATCCCTTTGCCCAAGAGGAAATATGCTTGCTCCAGTGGTCCTGTCAACAGTATTGCAACTGCTCAAATGGGCAGTGCTGGGCAGTGCTGCATAATGGTGCATGGCTAGGCCCAAGAGATTCAGTTAGTCATTAGGTATTTGCAGCTCAGTTGGGGCCCTCGTGGGAAGCTTATCTACAGCAGGTAAGAGTGGTATTTATCCAGTGAAAGGAGGGGTGTAAGCACTGGGAGCCTGACAGCTAGGTGATCAGTGAGAAGAGGGGCCCCTCTCAATGGCTGTCCTTCATTAAAGGGCATTTGCACCACGTGGCCTAAAGACACGGGGCTCATTTAGCATTGGTGGTCTGGGCTAGAAAAGCTGCACTGAGTTTCCCAGTGAGGGCACTGTCAGGTTCACAAGAACGATGATAGCAGCGGCAGGAAGGAGGCACCTACTCTCTGCTGGCCCCCAGGGTTCCAGTGCAAGCTCGGTTACCTTTTTAAGGACCTGATCGATGAACTTACAGGGTGTGCAGCTTTGGCAAGAACTGGAAAGTGGACTGTCCAACAAACTGGATAGGATTGCCATAAAAATGTCTGCAAAGGAGACAAATAGCCAGCTTAGATTATCCTGTGCAGACTGGAGGAAATGCTATTATTAGTTGAAAGCACCTGGAGTGAGGAATGAGCTTCTCACTGCAGTGCTGAGCCCACATGCTCCACATAATCCCTGCCTGCCCTCTAAGCCTACCCTCTGGCTGAGCTCTGGCAAATGGCAGC